GAACTTTCATCTTAGCGAAGTCCCACCATGTTTGAAGTGCGTCGAAAAAATGGCCTGGTTAACGAAAGCAACCTGCGTGCTTCGGATTTTGACTGGCTGATGAGCATTTTATGACAGAATTTATCTCCCTAACTGCTGTAATTTCAATGGAGCTTTCACAAAGGGAAGATCCGGTCGATTATGTCCTGGGCTGTGTGCGAGTACATGTAGGTCAAAAGTCCTTCACCTTTAGCTTAATTTAAGCTTTAGCTCATCATGTTTATGAGATAAGCATAAGATTTTTATTTCCCCCCTTTTTTTTAAAAGGAAAATTAGGGTTTCTGTATCGAATGTCTTTAAACCTGAAGCTGTAATTCACTGTCACATTCATCAGAAAGGACATAAACATTTATGTGGTAACGCTTACTCAGGGATACCATAACTTTTGGGGTTCACTTTTTTTTTCAACAACATTTTCTTGTTCAGTATACTCAAGATTATTTTCAGATGAGAAAGGAGACTACATAACTCGCTCTTCTAATCAGTCTAATATATATTGGAATGTAACTTTGGGAAATATAAAGGTGCACACTGGATGGAGTTGAGGCTTGTATTGAAGAAATACACTTGAGGGTGGGGCTCTTTTAGAAAGGGAGGGGGGTGGAGCTCTTATTGGAAGGAGATGTTTAAAGTGAATCGTTACAGTAACCCTGTAAACAAAACTATATTTTTTCATGCCCATTTCAAACATAAGTTCACTCTTGCTAAAAAAGTAATCAAATTGAAAAAAGTTTGGAGATAACTTAGAGATGGAATGGTAGATAGACTGTTGCCCTTATTGTAAATCATTCGCATCTTAACTAAAAAGGAGAGCATTGTTAGCATGAATTCAAAAAAATCAAAACCTTAAAAGGCTGTTTTTTCATTGACGGAAATCTAAAAATAGTAGTTTAGTTTAGTTTAGTTTAGTTTTCTGTGACTATACATGTAAGTGACAGAAGTTATGAAAGGGGTACTCTGGAGCCTTGATTTAACAAACCAAAATGTGATATTTTTTGCCATAGTAATAATAATATAGAATATATGGAAGAAAAACCCATATATGGACACCTCATTTTGCCAGATCCTGGGCCCTTCATTATATCAAGGTTCCACTGTATTATAATGGGTCACACAATCACAAGGTTTTGATGTGAAAGTAATAACGTTTTGCAGATGGAAAAATTGCTAAAAATAAATTACAATTTGCTCTCTCTTGAAAAATTTACTTGGAATCTTCACATCTTGTCACTCCCGGAGTAATTATATGTGCAAGAGCAACGGTATATATTGGGAAGTCCTTAGTCGTTTGTATTGTGCTGTCACTTGCAGAAGTTCTTGTCCCCCTCCATTGAAGAGGGTGTACTGGAGGTTAAAATGTTTCAATTGCTTTAACACATTCATTTCTATCTTTGCAGCGGCTACCTTGTAACATCTCCAAGACTTTTCCGTGCCGGCAGCACTCAGGAGCTCTCTGTCAGTCTCGTTAACATCACTGAACCGTGGGTTATCAATTCCACACTTACATATAAAACAAGTGGAGATGTTATTGCTAGTAATGGAGCACAATTTAATAGTGATGCTGATGGCATCCTTAAACTTAAGGTAAAAATTAAATTTAAAGTCCAGCATTCACTGTCAATCAATTTCTGATTCTTAAATCAAAATCTGATTCATATAACAAAATTTTCATCCTGGCAGCTGCCATGATAGACATGACCTTCTGTTTTACTTAAATTCTTTTTACACTGCCTTTTTTATAAGCACCAATTATAAGTTTAATGTAGTAGGAAGGAGTGATGTGCAGATTACTGATTTCTCAGTATTGCTTTTGGACCGTGGACAATATTGTTCTTAAAACTTGTACACGAAACATTTCTGAAAGAGAGTTCAATCTAATTCTATCTGTGAATGCTATGTTTGTCTCCTTTGCATTCTGGCACCATGCAAGATACAGTGCAGTGTTAGTTGATTAAAATACATTACTTCTTTGACAGACAAACCATAGCCAACTAGTTACTGCCCAGTAAAAATTTAGACTTGGATGGTAGGGTTTTTTTTATTCCTACTACCCTCTTTACTTATTGAAATGACCTAATGAAAATCACACTAGGCGCATTTGTCACTTGTGATTACAAATGAGAAAGTGGCATACAATGGGAATGACAAATTGTTTTGACATGTTACTTGTCAGTAGGCCAGTATGCGTGCAGAGATGTATGTGATCACATCTTTTTGTGACTGCAGATACCAAGGGACTTGGAGACAAGTGGTAAACAGAGCATTGAAGCAAAGTTGTCTGTTTCTGGAGGACCAGTAGATGGAAAGCATGTCTTTCAAAAGAGTGAAACAATCAGCGTTCTCATTCCAAAGAATTCTGTGTTCATTCAGACAGATAAACCCATTTACAAACCAGGCCAGACAGGTAATGCCTTTTGAAAACCCCAGTGGTATAATGATTTGTGTTTTGTCAGCACATACTTTTCAAGGGCAGTCTATACTTGCAGCATAGATCATGAAATTGGGCCTTCACATCTGATGCTCCAGCAAGATATATAATGAGAGGTGCCTTCCTCTCACCCCTCACCCTGAGCTTACACCCTCATGGAACTCATCTGTAGTTGGAGACTTCCTTTGAAAAATATCATTTCTTTATAGGCTTAGAAAAATAGGGAGGAATCAAGAGTAACATTATCAGGGTGCAAAGAAAATCTTTTTTCAGGCTTGCCCTTCGGGCAAGCTGTAACTCTAATGTACTAGCCAAACATCATTCCCACTAACTCCAAAAATTGAGGCTGTATCAGAACTTGAATTTCCTTAAAACAATGTTTAATCCCAAATTAAAATTCATTGCCCATTGGTGCAGGCAAGTGAAGGAAAGAATCCGCTAGCCTGACCACAAAATCCACTAGCCCCAGGCTATCAAACATGACTTTCTTTGCATGCTGCAGCCTAGATAAAGTTTGCAGGAAGTTAATGGAATGATGTGATTTGACTTTCCTTTGTAGTCAATATGCGCATTGTTGGAGTGGATGAAAACCTAAGGCCTTTAAAAGGACAGGTAGAGATATTAAATTGCTCTGTTGAAATATGCATTTTCCTAAAACTCTGTCATGATCATTTATATTAATCTGCCAGATACATGTAGTGTTATTAAGGAATGTCAAACCTGTTTTATAATTTTGTCACTTACTGGTAATTATAAACATTTTAATAAACACTGGTTTGATTTTTTGCAGGTCAAAAGAGTTACCATCACTGTGAGTAGCATTTTTAAAATATCGTTTCTATGAATATTCACTTTGACTAATGATAACTTACTGCTGATTACAGTTTAGTAGTTTGTTGGTTCTTTCTGTGTTTTTTTTTATTGGTAATTTTCTTCCAAGTGTCCCAGTGCAAGTTATCACACTGTAAAGATTGTAATTTATATGAATATCAGGGCTCAAAATAGGAAAAAAAATCTAGCCTGCCAATTTATTAATTTTTGGCAGGCCATACAAATTTTGATTGTCATTTATTGTTTTTTTTTTTTGTTTGGCTTGCCAACTATTGACATTTTTACTGTTAATGCAATTGTATAACTTTTTGATTTTCAGTAGAAATTACATTATTTTTTTGCATTATTGGATCTGTTGCATCGATGTTGCATCTGCCAATTCTCCGTCTGTCCCTTTGATTAGTGCTTTGCTCTTGTTGAAGAGAACATTCCCAAGCTTCTCCAGGTTGTGAATAAAAAACCAAACTTTGACTGTGTGTTAACCCACAACTCTGTCAACTCATATTGGGCTAACAGGATGCGGATCCATATTATAATGCTCCATGCCTTTCTCAACAACTTTGATCTTGAGGGCCATTAGTGCTTCTCGGTTTCTATCAGACATATCTGCCTCAGGCCTTTTTTAGACTAATTCCATATTCATCAAAATGGTCATGTAGATATTGGAAGTTTATATATACTTTAATGTTCTGAGCATTGGGGTTGCAGCCTTCCATAATTTTATCCCTGAACAAATAAATCGCTTTGTTGATGGAACCATGCTCAGGAGTTGCGTGGGACCATTTTGGGTAAAATTACTTGAGAAAACCACAAGCCATTATGCACTTGAAAACTTTTAAGGTCAAGAGCTACAGTCAAGGGATCTTCCCCTAATATTTTTCATGGAGACGATTGATTTGTGGAGAGGAATAGTAGATAAAGGAGAATGGTAAGAGGAGAAGCAAATGTCACAAAACCAGTCTGGTAAATTTGGCCTGCCTTTTCTTTATCCATTTGGCAGTTCATTGTTATTTTTGCCTGCCAAACATGAAATTTGGCTGGCCATTTGGCCATTGGCAGGCCGCTATTTTGAGCGTTGAACATGTTTTCTTTTTTTCTTCTGTAGAGCCCTGGTGGTGTGCGAACAAAGCAATGGAATGACCAGACTTTTGTCGGTGGTAAGTGAAGAAATCCTGTTTAAAGATTACAGTTTGTCCATATGTGTCTCTCTCTGTCTGTCTATATATCAAAAATATGATTGATTAATCCCTTGATTTGCTGATCACTCATTCTATTGATGTATCTGAGTTCATCAGTAGCCCTTTTCATGATTAACTTTTCTCATTTGCACTCTAATGTAAATTGTGAATGTGAAGCAGAATCCACATAATTGTCTAAACTTGCCTCCCACACATGTTGGGTTACATCGTAATACAGTTGAGAAAAGTTAATCGTTAAAAGGGCTTTTTTCCTAATATTATTGATAACCTGATTGCTAATCCATCTTGTCCTCCAAGTCTACAGTGGGTAGTTTACAAAGCTGACTGGCAGAGCTAGCCTTATACTTAGGATGCTTTTGATTTTTCTTTTTCTGGAAAAGCCCCAATATCCCTTTGATATAGTCACCATTCCAATTCTGGAATATGCAGAATATAATTTTTTCCAGGCATTGTACTCTAGAGTGGGAGGCACAGTGGCCTCATGGTTAGTGTGCTCGTCCCTGAAGCGAGCGGTCCAGGTTTGAGCCCTAGCCGGGGACACGGTGTTGTGTTCTTGGGCAAGACACTCAACTCTCAGAGTGCCTCTCTCCACCCAGGACTATAAATGGGTACCGGTGAATTGTTGGGGAAACCTAACAAATTACGGGGGAGTGACCTGCGATGAACTAGCATCCTGTCCAGGGGGAGTAGAAATACTCCTAGCCGCTTCATGCTACAGAAACGGGGATAAGCTCCGGCAGCTAGGAGCCATCGGTCCAAGGCTTCACTTTTTTATTGTACTCTAGTGGGGCAGAATACTCAGAATAATCTGGAATTATGACGTCACTTTTCAATGTGTTGCGAAAAAGGGGGGTCTTCACGCAAATAACCACACTCCTGAATTTGGAAAAAGTACATGTATGCAAGAAGCTAGGTGTTTCTTCTCCTTTCCTTGTGTGAAGAAATAAAAGAGTTGTTTACAAGCATACCTGTAAATAACTACTTATTATAATTAACCAAGAGTGAGCTGACTTGACAGAAAAATCTCAAATCAAGACCTTGTCACATTGACTGAGTGATACTAAAGTGAGGTCAGGAGGGCAAGGCTGAGGTTGGGGATTGTCACTAAAGACCAAACATTCAAGTTTAATAAGTAGTTTCTTATATGGCATATGAAAAGCTGTTTTGGTGTCTCCTTCATCCTTTCTGGCACCAACTCATTTGTAAATAATATTAATGCTGTGAATATGCTGTTCTCCTGATATCGTAGTTCATCAGGATAATATAATTCACTCTCAAAGTTCCTTGTCACTCATCATTTTCAGCCACTACAATTTTTAGAAAAAAAGCAATGGTTTTAGATTTCCTTTTGTTTTGTTTTTCCGGCCCATAATTGCCCCTTGGGAATTACAGGAGAATATTATGCCCTATAGATTTAGCCAGTCGGAGCTTGCACTATATCACCCGCAATAAAAGCCATATGATAAATGCGCAATAATCCACAGCTTAGATTATTCCATGAAGCTTAAGCAGACTAACCATTTTAATGGCCTACAGAAGGAATGGTTTGTCTGGAATATTCTAGAATAGATTTCTTATTCCAGAACAAAGTCAGTTAAACATACTCTTAGATGCTTATCAGACATTCTCGACATGAACTAGACATGCCAGGCATCAACTTCTCAAAATAAAAATGTGTATAATTAATCAGTGCATTTTAGGAAAAAAAAAAACATTGCGCTCTCCTCTGTAACCTCACTTCCATTGGAATCAAAAGTAAGATTTTAGTTTTTCTTTGTCCCGTGACATCCTGCACTCAAGGTGAGTTTACTACATTTACTCTAAATTCCATTGTGCCACAGTAGTTCAGTAGAACAATGAGACTGAACTAATAACTATGTCCATGCAAGGCTAAAACTGCACACTGAGGAGAGGCCTGTTGTACTGCTGACATGTGTAATATCAACTACAGGCATCTAGATACAAGTTACTAAATATTGGTTACAATTCTTAAATTTAGTAATTTTATGAAAAAGGAAATTTATAATTAATTTTTTTGTATCCAAATATTAGGAATTGTGAGTCTAAATTTTGCTTTGTCAAGCCAGCCTGTTCTAGGAGACTGGAAGGTTGAAGTTGTGTATCAGGTATCACACAATTTATACTCCATTTGCCCAAACAGAGAAGTAATATTCCTCCTGAAACTGTAGAGTTTTTTTGTTTGTGAATCAGCTCTAATGTAATATTAATGCAGAAAGTTTACTGGTGATTTATACTGCTAGTTCAGATGTTCATTGCTAGTTGCTTGTTATGGTAGAAATTTCCACCTGTGGTTCCAAAAAAAATTGTCTGCGATGTTTTTCAGACCTTCAGCTACCATTTTCACAGACAATTATTTTCTTGTAGGTTTTATTCCTGGAGTGAGTGCGTAAATTGTATGTTGGAGTCTCAGCCTAGTTTTACTATTTTTGTCTCCCCTAGTTGCATGTCTGTAACCATCTTGATGACATGTACCTTTAGTTAACATGCAATTGCAAAATTAATTTATTTAGCATTATTTTTGTTATATTGAAATTCTTGACCACCAGTGTGAATAGGAGGATGTCTGATTCATTTTGCATTGTGGTCCTTGACTATCATGACTAGTTACACTAAACAATTATTGGATGCAGTTGAACAAAATTTTATGAATTGTCAGTGGCAAATAATTGATCTGAGAGACACTGATAAATCACTGGGCAACACTTTGTGGTAATCAAGTTCAATAATTATTGTTTTAGGATTGATCACCAAGTTTAATTTGCTTTTATATTTAAATCACTCTGCCATTTTTCACACAAGAGTGTGATTTCGATTACGCATGAGCAGTATTTGAAGGCAGTTATTTTCAGGTGACCAGGTGTGCTCTTGGTCAATGAAAGGGAATAAAAAAATGCATTGAATGATTATGTCTCTTATATGATGCTATTTTGATATTTCCAAATAAAAGTGTTGACATCTTTTAAAAATTTTTCCTCATCTTTTAGGGTGAAAAAGAGACACGTGTGTTTAAAGTGGATAAATATGGTAACAAACATATACATTTATACCATGCCTCAGAAAATACTGCCAATCAGAATACAGGAAAACTGTTGTATCCTCAATGTTATTACGCCCAATGTTTCCAACATGCACTGCATGTATGTTGCTTTGATTGTCTTGGCTACTGTATTTTCTGAGGCATGGTACCAATGGACAGTGTTTCTAATTGACTGTCGGTCATGTGCAAGTTTTACACTGGTAAAAACATGTCAAAAACCAGTATTTTGTCATTCCTATAGTTGTTGCTGATCAAATGATCAAGCAGTTGTATGCAGAGGTTCCCTCTTGTCTCTCAAGAGAGAGGAATCTTACTTGCAGGTTAAAAGGTGTTTTTAACTTAGTGTTGGTTGGCAATTGTGCAAGTCACGTAATTTTTCTGCTCTCCAGCACACATAACTGGTACTTTGGCTTGTTTGTTTTTTGTGTATGTTTTCTTTTCACTGTGTTTATTTTGTACAATAACAGTGCTGCCAAAGTTTGAAGTGACCGTTGAACCTCCAGCTTTTGTGTCATTGCATAGCAAAGAGATAACAGCAACCATTTGTGCCCGGTAAGTTAATGTAGCATTCATTGAAGGTCCTACAGTACAATATGTGTGTTCTTGAAGTGGTTGCTTTTAAAGACACATGGAACCTCTTTGCAATGATATTGCCCTACTAAGTAAGTGCCAAAATAACTTACATTATGTCTTACACTGAGTTACGTAGTTCAGTCTAATTAGAAGATGTCTAGGAAGGTAGAAATTTAATGTATGGCTATACAGAGTCTGGAAATCTACAAAAGATGGGGAAATTTAACTTCTCTAGAGACAACACCTCCAGCTAGTAGCTAGCAAAGTCTTGAATAGTTTTCTCAGAGCAAAAACCAGATTCTTATTTTGTGAAATCTGTTCTAGCTGCATGTAGCTAATTATTTTGCTGTCCTGGGTGTAATTTCACTCAATTAGTGATATTAGTTTGGAAAGGCATTTGGTATTTAAAAGTCTTCAAATTTGTGCAAATCATATCCGGTTAATTCAAAAGTCAATTCTGAACGGATGATCAACCCAGCTATAATTACCAGTAACATTTTACATTTTCTGGTTTTCTCAGATATACCTATGGACAGCCAGTTAAAGGAACCTTGTCAGTACTCTTTCACTTAAAAATGCCCAAGTATTGGAAACAGTATGAATCTCAAACAACCAGGACAGGGGAGGTAAATGGTTTATTTCTTCTACAACTTAGAACCATTGCTCCACTTGTTGATGACTGTAGCAATAAACGTCATGGACAACCAAGGATATAATACATACATTGCACAGTAGTCTGCAGGTGGTGTTAAATAATTAGCTTATAAAAGAAACAACAATAATATTTGGCTGCATGAACAGTGACCAGAAACCTCGGGCATGGGGTGGNCCTCTAAAAGGTACGATGGGCACCCCCATTCTTTTGATATGGGAGTCCCCCCTGGGGGGCAGTAACTATGGTATAATTCCATCTTTCAAAAGCTTAGGAAATGTTATGAAAATTTTAAACTGCACACTAAAGAAGAATTGCTAATGACCCCTAATAATATTATTAATATTTTTTTTTTTGTCTTAGATTAATGGTTGTAGAGATGTCACAGCTACTATAAATTTACAGCGACACTACTTTTATAGTTATGCAAAAATTGCTATTAATGCCACTGTGAAGGAATCAGCCACTGGGGTTTCCCAAAATGCTTCAGGGACTGAGGTAGAGGTCGACAGTTCAAGCACAAAACTGGAGTTTCTTCACACTACACCCAGAACCTTTAAACCAGGCATGGCATATGTTGGACAGGTATAATCACTAAAACACTTAGGGATAAAAATAAAATGTCTACATTACAGATGCCATACCTCCCTTGGCTGTAAGTGCACTCTATCGGGAGATTCTCGTAAATTGCCACTTAAATACTTATAAAACTTCGTAAGGGCTTTTAGATGGGCTTATAAGTGGAGGGCTTATATTCGAGGGTGCTTATAACTGGAATAAAAGACTAGCTATAGCTGTGTTGATCGAAACAGGTTTTTCATTTACTTGTTTTTAATTAAGCTTTAAAACATCATAACAAAACAAATTCAAAACAAAGAAAGCTAAGAGAGGGGGGGGGCTTATATTTGGTGGAGGGCTAATAAGCAGTAGCTCACAGTATATGAAGCTACAGTTTAGTAAATGGTTGTGGTGTCAAATGGCACTTAGAAGATGTTTTAAACAAGTTTTTTTAAGGAGTTTTTTTTAGTAACTCTTTGTGTGGCCATTATAAGTTCAGGTTTAAGTTGTTTCTCTTGTGCTGCAGTGAGTGTTCATGGAGTAGGTCTGCAGGGCTTGGGCCAGATTGCTATTCCAGGTATGTAACAACAGTTTACTGAATAATAAGGATCATCTGCACTATTCTGTTTTTTTCTCTTGTTTATGTAGTTGAAAGCTACTCTGCCTGATGGAAGCCCAATGAAAGGAGAGTCAGTGCATGTTATTATAAAGGCACGGAAGTCCGACTGGTCATGGTATCATAACAATGCAGTGACAGTCTTTCAAGAGAGGATCACAGTCCCAGCAAATGGACTTGTGGATTTTGTAGTCCCTGGTTCAAACATTATACAGACAGCCAAATCGCTCTCACTTGAAGTGAGTTCTTTTGGTCTATGTATTGCATTGGATATACCATGTAATTAGCACTTATTAACCAAGTAGGAGGTCTGTATGAGAGAATCTTGACTGAGGTCATGAGTTAGGTCTGTACACACGACCGAGGTCAAGATTCTCCCATACAGACCGACTAAGCTCGGTTAATTAGATGACTTGTTTATTAGATGGCAAACAAGAACAATTTGATTTGTTTAATGTAACTTGTTTGTACTAGCTGACATCTTGCTTGTGAACGGCGATGAGCTGAACTTAATAATTATTTTGCCAAAGTTTGCTCGTCCTATTTACTTTTTTTCTCATCAGGCTTTTTGGGACTTCCATAAATAAATATTGTTAGAAGAAAATAGTCAATATTTTACATTTTAGTTTGCAACTTATCCATCGCAAAATGTAACCGGTCTAGGTGCCGGTCTAGATGGGAAAATCTAGACCACTTTCAATATTGATTTCAGCCAATCAAATTCATGAATTTGGTAGTTCCCAGTCCTTGTGAGACAGCCATATAATAATCCGTTATAATTATTCTCATGGTTAAAGTGATTCTGTTACAATGATCAGAGGCTTCTTTCGGGGAATATTGTTAATTAATATGTAAAAAATGTAAAGAAATTACGTTATAGTGTAATTTTAAAATTTAGTTAAGATATAATCCAGATGTATGTTTATAGCAGACATGCAGTTAGCCTTGGTTGCATGTGGTGGAAACCTTATTTCAATCATTTCCCCCTTGATCTGTATCCTCATGCAATCCTGATTTAAAAAAAAAAAAACCTTTCACCTGATAAATGAGTGCAGGAGACCTTTAATTTATAAGTGTAATTACTCATTCCTTACTTGACTTTACTCTCAGTAACATTTAATTTTTTCTAGGCTAAATACAAGGGTAAATCTTTGGCATACCATACCGCTAAACGCTGGAACTCTCCAAGCAGCAGTTACATTTCCATGGAAAGAATCATCACTCCACTGGAGGTTGGAATTATTGCATCACAGGGCTGGCAGAAATTTGCCATTTTATTACCCAAAAATATAAGAGCCTGTTTAGCCAAACAAGATCAAGCAGTTTCTTATATGTGGGTTACAGATAAATTATGAGAAACATTTTAACCAAGGAGTGTGACTCTGAAATTTATATAGTTTACAAAAAAATAAATAATACATTTGTAAATAAAATAATAATGTATATATATTTGAGTACCAAAACCCAAGTTTATATGTTTTTCTGGTAATTAACAACTATAACTCCTTCAAAGAAATTAATAAGAACCTTATAAAAACCTACTTAGCCCAAATTGCCAATAAGTACACCAAAATAAAAATTATATTTTGCCAGACTTCAAAATTTGTAGGTTCTTACATGCTGATTGTTACTGTTTTTATTAGTAACAATAATATTGTTACACTGTACACTGTCTACAAATTTGAAGCACTGAGGTAAAGTACTGTAGTTCTTAATGGGTTTCTTTCAGGCAATTTATGCAAGCAACATGCAAAAATCATGTTATACAAATAATATTCACATGTAAATTTACTCTCTGAAGGCTGTGACTTTTACAATGTAGTGCTTTATTTATTTACAGGTTGGATCAAGTGCTAAAGTAAAGTTTGATTTCACAACCAGCACAGCAACAAAGAACATCAATTTTCACTACCAAGTGAGTCTTGCTTGCAATTGTAATTTTTAATTTGAATTTAAATTGAAGTCCAGAATTTAAATATTCTGATATCCAACAGTGTCACTCTAGTAATCTTGAGTAATTATCAAACACAAACAACTCTGTTTGGCCATATTTCCAACCACCGAGAAGAGAGTTGAAAATAGGATGCATAGTAGAGTATTATTGGTTAAATTTGAGGTGATGGAAATGTGTTCAAACGCTGTCTTGAGTGTTTGATATATCTTCCCAATTGAAACTAAAACTGAGCGGAAAATGAAGAAATAATATCGTAAAATATATATGCTAATTAAGATATCCAAACACCCTCACGGTCATAATTTCCTTTGTCTAAACTTGATGAATTATATGAGTTTTAAGTTTTGTCACTTGCATTTAAACCTAGATTGCCTTCTGATTTCAAGGTATTTAGCCGTGGAATGCTTGTGGCTCAGGGAAGGAAACTTCTTGCAGTTGATTTTCAGCCATCCATGAAAACATTCAAGAATTCCAAGAATGAAGAAATGTTCACAGCCCAGGGATTCATTCAGTTTGCTGTCACTCAGAAGATGGTACCTTCATGCCGTCTCCTGCTGTTCCATGTGCGGGATGACCAGGAGACTGTTGCTGATAATATGGTGATAGATGTGGAGGATATATTGGAAAATAAGGTACTGGTATTAATAAAATTAGTATGTTTAATTAGAGAAGCCATTAACAACTGAATCCCTAAATGGAGGTTGGGTGCTGGAGACATCCAAGAGCTTCCACTATTGGCAGCCAGCTCCTAGATGGAGACCACTCCCATGGCTGGCAAATCCTGGAAACTGAGCCATGAGCTCCCATGCGGAAGGGGAGACAGACACCCATCACACTGAATTAACAGTGGAGAGAGGGAGGGTGAATGCTATCACTGTGAAGGCTGCCAACACGTCTCAGTCCAAGAGCACATGGAATCCTGGTGCCTGCACATATCAAAAACACCACTGTACTATGGGAAAGCAGGTGCTCTTTGTTGTTAACTCCATTAAATTGCATTTAACTGCATTAAATCTGGTAATGTGAGAACATGGGAGAAATTTACTTGATATTTTTACATTTATCTGAAGTGTTCCAACTGATGTGGCTTCTAAACAATAAATCAAAACCGGGGGCTTTGGGGAATACTCCCCAAGAGGAATGTTTGCCGAGATTTGCTGTGTAATTTCTAGGTACATGTTGGGAACAAAAAAATAATGAGCTCTGTGGATGTGTCCCTGTTATCAGCAAAACGGGCTACTATGAACATTGGAAAATCTTAGAAGTCACAGACTCTTGGTTTTCCAACAGGTTGATGTACGTTTTGCTGAGAGCATCAGAAAGCCTGGTGAACCAACAAAACTTATCATAACAGCAGCACCAGGGTCTCGAGTGGCTGTTACTGCTGTTGACAAAAGTGTCCATCTCTTGAAAGAAGGAAATGAACTGACTCAAGATGATGTAAGTTTTTACTGTTGACAAAAGGTACCATAAATTCAAATCTCAAGGTCACTATGTGTAAATCATGTAAGGTGTTTCATATTAAGGATTTTTAAAGTGATAATTGATTAAAAAAAAAAAATTAAATGTGCAGAAGTCCATTCTGTCCATAACATTTACCACAGCTAACTAGGTAATAATAATGAAAGAACCTTAATCTAATTTTGTGAAAAGTTTATTTTGCTGATAAAAGGAACAGTTATCAAACACAAATTAAATCTTGGCAGACATGATATTGTTAGTAATATCTATACTCACTTGATAAAAAATGTTGATGCCTAAATGTTATATTTCTTTTCATGCATGTATTTAGCTAGAGTTATCTAGCATAGTGGTATATTTTCTAAGTCTTTCTGTTGTTTGTTATCATTATTTTTTATTGTTAATAGTATTTTTTTGTGATTATCCTGATAAATCACTGATCCCACTAGACTAGTGAAATGCTATGCACAGATCAGCTGTCTACAATTGAATTAATTTCTCTGGAAATTGAAATAAAGTGTGATTGTATTGTTCCAGAAAGTATCCATTCCTCTCCCACAGAAGGGAATTTTTCTAAGACCCCTCCCCCACCCCTCTGGAAATTCCAATTAAGCTTCATGCATTTCTATTAATTTTTTTGGCGAGGAGCCCCACCCCACAGGAAATTCCAATCCCTTCTTTGGGGGGAGTATGGATAATTTCTGGAGCTGCACATTGAAAGTTTGAACACATTTTGTATTTTACCAGGTATCTTTAACTGCTTCCATGTCAGTGGTGCCCATGATTTACCCAACAAAGTTGGACAGCTGAAATAAAATTATTCTGTCTTTGCTCTTTAAAAAG